GTGTCATCCGCATAACGCAGGTTGTTGATAAATCGTCCACCAATCCTGACCCCACATTTCTCCTCATAGAGCCCAGCCTCCCGGATAATCTGTTCTGCATGTAGGTTGAAAAGGTATGGAGATAGGATCCATCCCTGGCGTACGCCCTTCCCAATTTTGAACCATGCAGTGTTCCCTTTCTCTGTTCTGATGACTGCCTCTTGGTTCAAGTATAAATTTTGCATTAGCACGATCAAGTGTTCTGGGATTCCCATTATTCTCAGAGTCAGCCACAGTTTATTATGGTCCACACAGTCAAACACCTTTGCATAATCAATGAAGCACAGATAGACATTGCTCTGGTAACCCCTGCTTTCAGCCAAGATCCTTCTAACATTAGCTACAATATCCCTAGTACCACGACCCCTTCTAAATCCAGCCTGGACTTCTGGCAGTTCTCTGCTCATGTGCTGTTCCAGTCATTTTTGGATAATTTCCAGCATAATGCAAAAAGTGAGTTGTTCTTTAAACCTTATTTTATGATCAAGGGTATTTTTTGTTGTTGTTGTTGTTGATTGTCATATAGTCGAGTACGACTCATAGCAACCCTATGAACAAAAGGCCTGAAGCCTTTCTATAACTGTCATCGATTCTCTAAGTTCATAGAGTTTCCAGAGTCATATTGTTTAGGAATTAAGGATACTGAAGTTCATAATTGCTTGGTGATTTATTATCGCAGGTATGGGACATACAGTAAATATGGCCTTTAAATCACCAAAACAGTTCTGTTGAAAAGTGGTGTTGTTTTTGCTGTTCTATATAGTCAGATCAGAGCAGCCTCAATAGCTGACCTTCTAGTAGGTTTACAAAGGCTATAGATCACATCAGAGGAGACTGTCCATCTTCCTCCTGTGGAGGAACTGGTAGATTCAAACTGAATGCCATTCGGTTGGCAGCACAACTCCTTACCATGAAGCCACCAATGCTCCCTGCTAAAAGGTGAAGAAACTACAAATACAATATACTGGGGATAATTCCAAAGGAACACCAAGTACTTTATCACTCATTATTTAGCTTTTTGGTTTTGTTTTTTGTTTAAATCTTACCTGTACATGTCGGTAGTGGTTTATGCCATACCATTTTTTTGTCAATTTCTACACAGAAAGCATAAGTTGCACCACTTAATTTGTACCTAAAGGAATAGAGGGAGAAAAAGTGAAGAAATATTCCATTTCCACATACTTAAATTTCCTCACAATCTCCAGAATGCCTCCACAAAATATTCAATATACCAGTAAAACTCACTAAAAATACTCATACTTGCTGAGTCAGAATCTACTCACAGCTGACCCTTCTTTGGCTTTCCAAGACTGACCACGTCACTCAATGGGAGGAGATTGCCCATCTTTCTCCTGAAGAACTGTGGTGGGTTTGAACCGCCAGAGAGGAGTGGGCTCTGGGTCACTAACTCCTTATGGACTACACCACCCGTGTTCCCTACTACACCCGTAAAGGAGACAGTGAAGAATTAATAAATTATCATGCAGGCATTTAAAGGGAAAAAAAGATTACATTGTAAAAGGTGGTGCCATTAGGATAAAGAAACCAAAATTTGAATACAACATAGAATACATTGTTATTTGCAATGGGCACATGTTATAAAATAGAAATCTTTTCAAAGCCCACTGATAAGATGCAAATGCTTGTAGTTTTCTGAGTTCTGAAAGATTAAGACAGCCTCGAAGAATAATTGTATTCAGAGGTTATCCTCTAGATTCTGTATTAATGGCTCAGACATCTGTGTGTATAGTACAGAAGATACTTGATAAAGATATCTTCATCTTTAAAAAAAGAAACTACACACAAATTAAAAGAGCATACCTCAGAAGACAAATGAGAAAAATGACCAAAGTTTTCAGCAGTGTCTGTCTGAGACCCTGATGATATTTAACAACTGAGTTCTTTCCCTAACTTGGTAAGTCCAAAAGTATTTCTGGTCAGAATGATATTTTGATGCTAGGAATAAATAAATAAATAAATGTTTTTTTAACTCAAGGCATCAGAACTGATTCATACTTGTCCTTCCAGTGAGTTTTCAGAGCTGGTAAATTATACAGTAGGAGACTATCCATTTATCTCCCTTGAAGCACTTGATAGATTTGAACTGCCTGACTTTAGGTTGGCAGGACAATTTCCTAACCAACAGACCACCAGAGCTACCTATTTTATAATTCACTATTTGGAAAACTTAAAGACTGATTTCTCTTTTAACTCTTAAAGGTTGTAATTACTCCAAGTATTATCAACCACTCTCTTTTAAATTTTTGTCTTTTGCTAATTATTCAACACTTAAATTTTTATTTGGTGGTAAAAGAAATATTACCCCACATGTCTACACTTAACCGTGATCAGTTGATGATGAAGGATCTTTGAGGAGACGGGTGTCTTTAATCTCCATAAACTTGTAAACACTGGTTATGTATTAAATTCTTATTATTTTTATCTTTGTTAAATGAAAAGTTACATGTTATAACTTACCCCAGGTTGCATGAAAAGATGATGCGTGAATAAAATAATAGGCCATTTGTTATATTGATATAGCCATTTTTTATTTCTCCAGGATGAGCACATGGTCTTCCTAGATAATATAAACATATTTAATTTTCATCCAACACCCTTTCCTGATCAAAACACTCAACAAAATAGGATCAGAGGGTAATTTCTTCAACATAGTAAAAAGTATTTATGAAAACCTGAGAGCCAGCATTGTTCTCAATGGAGAGAGGTTAAAGGCATTCCCTTTAAGAACAGGAACGAGGAGCGAACACCGTGTGCCCCCAGAGGAGCAACGACTACCTGCCACTGTGTGACCCCCTGCAGCACACGCCTGCGTGATCCCCAACACAGGGTGCTGCTGCATAAATCCCCAGCAGCGTCCACGCCCCGCCCCCTACCTCTTGGTGGTAGTGTCCAAGCCCTGTGCTGTTTTGCACCCCTAGTCCCTTGCTTCCCCCCTTCCCCCGCCCCCCTCCTTGTAGCTCCACAACCAAGCACCGCAGCCCCCACAACAGCCCTATGGCCTCAGGGCACCACCATGGATCCAGCCATTACCCAGAGCTATCAGCCAAGCTGCTGTGGAACTAATCTGGCAGGAGAAAGGCCTGTACAATCCTGGCTGGGTTTACTGGGGCACCGCTGATTACCTGGGAGAGCACCTAAGGGCATGCCCACTGGTGGGGAATTTGGCCGAGCTCTCTTGGGCTACACGAATTGCCCCAAACGAACAAAACAGGTGGCTTCTCTGGACTTTGCAGACCAGCCAGAGGCTAGTGGGTAGGTGGGAATTTGACTTGAACTTTTTGGATCTTGTCGGATCCAGGACTCTGCTAGAGCAGGGGCTGTTGTGTGAGGACACCTGTGTAAGTGCCACCAGGCAGGGAATACTGAGAAAACCATTGGGTAGGAAACAGACAGCAGGAATTTAAGTAGGGACCCCAATCGTGAGCACACTGAGAGACCAGAGGTTTGAGTAAGGTCCCCCAAGTGTTTGACCTGCCCTTTCGATCACCCCAACCCTTTGCCTGCCTCACCCCATTTGACTCCACACCAGTGACTACATATCTGGGCAATCAACTTGCCTTTAATTGGGAGCACCTTGACCTGTCTTACCAGCAAGAGATTGCCCCAACAGGCTCTGAACTGACATTTCTCTGAAGTCAGAAATTCAGAGAAATGCACAAGTTCCATTGCTACCCAACTGATCTCAAGGGCATTTTTTTAAGATCAAGAACATATCAATGTCTCGAACAAAGCAAACTATGCCACACAATACACAAGAGCAAATCAAGATGTCACTCACAAAGGGAGATAAAGTATCAGTGGACTCCCTGAAGCCAGAAAGTCTCATTGGACTTTCTGACACAGAATTTAAAAGAGGAGTGACTGAATATATCCAATGGATGAAAGACAAACTTAATGAATTGCAGGATACTACAAGCAAAGACCAGGAGGAGCTAAAAAAAAATAATGCAGAACATTGCAGAGAAAACAAATGAGGCATTAGTGGCACTGAAAAAACAAGAATTCACCATTCAAAATATAAGGTCCAATGTTTCAGAGGCTGTCAACATGATGGAGGGACATAAGAGCAGAGTTGATGAGATGGAAAACAGAATCAGTGAAATTGAAGACAAAATTGTCACCACTGATTTGCTAAAGCAAATAAAACAACCTCAAAACAGAAGGAAAAGAAGAAAACCTAGGAATAATGTGGGACACCATCAAGAAAAATAACATGTGCATCACTGGAATCCCAGAAAAGGAAGAAGCAAGTAAAGGCACTGAAAACGCTGTGGAAGAATTACTACAGGAAAACTTTCCAGTCATAATGAAGAATGAGAGAATACGTATTCAGGAAGCTCAGCGAACACCATATAGATTTGACTCCAAAAGAAAAACATCAAGGCATATCA